CTTGTACTTAATTACATCCACGTTTGCACTATGAACTATGTGATGCTGCTGCCTGCTTTATTCTAGTTGTCCATTTTTGATTGGCACAGCAAATTATAAGAACCATTTTTAAACAACTCTTTCAGTGTCCTTTAATTGCAATGTCCTGAAAACAAAAGGGCACTGCATGGTGGTTGCTTAGTCCATCTGGAAAGAGAAGGCTTGGTTTGTAGACCCCATGTTCTCAAAATACTAGAGTGTATTTACTGGACAAACAATAAGGCTACATCTTCTTTCCTCTTCTACCACCTGTTTTCTGCAACTGGGTGTAATTGGACATAAACAGGTAGCAAGAGCTTCTGTGCTGGAAAGTGACAACCAATTGGTTTCTCAAAATAGCGCTCAATTCTTAACGTCAGTGCTTCACGTAGCTTGAAGAACTGGTGGGTGGAAGAAAAGCTAGTCCTTGTCTTCTCATCATGCAACTGAAGGAAGAAAATGAGGGGGAGAGAAAAGTCTCCATGCTGTATTTTTGGTGCTAGTACAACCTCAAAATTGTCATGACAACGGTTTTTCTCTTAAAAAATCTTCAAACTGTGCACTTTATTTTAAGGTCATTATATCCAGCTGATAAATACTTAAGATGCATTGTTGAATTCCCTGTTTTGTGTTCCCTTCTATGGTTACAGTTTTATTGTAAGGCGGAGAATTGCAAAACAGAATTCCAAAACTTTCCAGATCTCCTTCCTTAAGGGTGATTTGTCTATATAGCCAGATAGCATCTTGGGCAGTACTGCATCCGTGTGGACAGTCACACTTTCAGCATGTGGGGCTTTGAGCTTCAGGCCATCAAGCTATTTTTGGTGTTGAGAAGGAAGCAACAAATGACCTGATGCTTGGCACACTTCAGAGCTGTCCGAGACAAAAAGTGTTTGAAATATTAACTTTCTGAGAAATCAGCACCACATGCAGATGAGTAGTATTTCTTTGGAGATATCCGTGTAGGTATCTGCCACACAGGCAATTTTATATATGGGTTACTTCTATGAGCTGTTTTGTGAGCTTCTAGCAGCTCAATTTGCCATAATTTTATCAGCAGTAATGAAGACATTCTCCAAACCAGTGGCTTTTGTAGCCATCTAAAGGAGATACAAACCATGAAAACCCATTATCTGCATGCCATATCCTGTGCTTGATTTTTAAAGCCTGCTGCAGGTTCAGCTGCATGTTCTAAAATCTGTCCTGGTGCAGTCATGGGAGATCTGTGTAAGTAAACTAGCTACTGGAACATATTTTGTTTCATTTGTCACTTGCAGTTCACCGTAGTCCCTGTCTTTAATTCTCTTCAGCAAGGCCTTCTGTGTGAGGACTTGCTGACTAAATTATTTTAACAGGGAATGTGACATACCCAGTCTTACTAAATATCAGAGTAGTGATTCATCAGGTGCTGAGTAACAGTGGATGTATGAGATCTAAGGGGAGAGGAAGCACGTTGTTGTACATCCTACTTGTGTGTCACTATTGGATCTATGTACTACTAAAATACTCCTGGTGGAGGGATGACTTTAAGCTAAGAGATGAGTTGGTCTAGACTGTTTTACTTCCTGTTATGTTGTTAAAGCCTGTGCTTTGGATCTTGAGCAACAGCACATGCCATTAAAACTCTGTGAACTTGAAGTGTTTCAGGATAGCAAGAACTACAGTTACACATTCCAAGTGGCTTTTTGACTTTCTGCTCTATTATGTATTCCCATAAATGGCCATAGTCTGGACTAAGTAGGTTACTTGTGGAGCCTGAAGCAAGAAGTGCTGCTTGGTATAGGCTAATTATACTTTCCTGGTATCTTTAGAACTGAAACTTCCTAGAGCTTCAGGCAGAAATAATAAAAATGAGATTGCTAAGCAACACCTCTTGCTCAAAACTTTGTACCCTGCCCATTTGCTGGTCTTATGATGCATTTTCACATTTCAGAGTTACACTGACATTACAATTGACCATTTTCAAGCCAATTATAAAAGCTAATTTTAATTTTAGGAAGGGTATCCAAGCCCTAGGTTTGTAGGAGGGCGTGCTACCTCTCTGCTGCCAAAGGCTGCCTTCGGAGGTCACTGTCACAGGCTGCTGGACTCAGTCTGTGATCCAGGGGCTGCATGTGTCTGTTGGCACAGCTGCAGGAAGCTCTGAATCAAGTCAGCAGTATGATTGCAGTAGGCACAGGTGATACTCTGTCTCAAGGAACAGCTATTTTAGAGTTTCAGCTTCACATAATTGAGCATACGTTCTTTTCTCCAGACATACCCCCCAGCTGAAACTACAGGAGACTCACTGCTGGAACCTTTCAAATCTTTTGTTTTAGCTACCTCATCACTTGTTCTCTGGGCTTAAATTAAACTTCCTCCTAGACAGCTCAAAGACTAGAGGGTAAGGGAGTATCTACAATACAGCAAGACTTTTTTTTTCCCTAGTCCTTAAAACAGAACTTCTGCTAAAAATAAGCTTTGTTTGTTTGTTGATATAATATTTTTAATTCTTTTTAATATTATTTTATCTTGCTGTGTAAAAAATCTCAGATTCAGCTTGACCTCCTTTTGGAGCTTAGCTTTCACCAAGTGATTTGCCTCAAACATTTAAGAAAAACCCCATGGGCTTTAGCATTTATTCAGTTTAATGATGCTAAGCCACTGCATGTTTAGGTCCTTATGTGGCGAGTGTTGCCACAGGTAGCTATGTAAGCCACTTCCTTCTTGGAAGATTTCTTCACCTGCTCAACTTCCACTGTGTGACACAGCAGCAAGTAACTGGCTTCAAATTAGTAAGTTACTTGTTAAATGCAACGTGGTTGTCCCACTGGCTATCCCAATGAACTTCTTCTGCAATTAGGTTAAAGCTACAAAAACAGCTGTAGAGGGGATTTTGCATTAGTGTTTCTGCTAAAATGAGTGTCTTCTGGACTGGAACTCTCTTCTAATGTTCTCTGGGCCTTATTGTTAAAAAGTAGAAATGCTTAATTCCAGATCAAATAAAAACCTAACTTTCTAAAGTTACATTTTCCTGCTTTTTTCTCCTTGACACCCCCCTTCCTGAATAAATGCAGGTATTTCCCCCCCACTTTCTAATGCTTACTTTCTTTCCTCTTTCTCCACTGCAGTCAGTGGAAACAGAAGTAACAGATTTCTCACCATACAGATCAATTCCCATACACAGATTGAGTCTATTTTCTGATAAGTTAATTTGTTTGGAAAAAACCCAACAGTAATAGTCACACCTTGGTGTTTAACCAGATGTTGCCATGACAGGCAGGACTGCTGTGGATGTACTACTGTCCATTGCACTTCACTGTGCACCTCTCCACAACAAGCAAAAATCAGGGCATGGTTCTTTAAAGGAGCTGTTTAGATAGCTGCTTATTAGAGAACATGGCAACTTGGAAATTCTGAATAAGCAAGTAGGTGGCTCTGTTCATACTTACATCTTTTCATGTTGTGGAACATTTTCTTCCACTTCACCTTGTAAATACACATGACTCATCTTGCTGTTCTCACTTAGCCCTGAAACCTGACTTGTGTAATTGTTGTTATGCTTCCTGTTTCTAATTCTGAATGGCTGTCACTGAAAGGATGGATGTGTGTAACCATACATGAAGATGGCTTTTAGCTTCCATTTAGCAGTTTGTCAGCAACAGTTTAGGTGCAGAATAAAGCCAAAGTGAAGAGAATCAGGTAGACTCTCTTCTGTCATACCCAGTTAGTAGAAGATCAGAGCTCAGCTCCTGCTGCTGAGAGCTTCCTGACTGGCACTTGCTAATGACTTAAACAGCTGAATCAGCAGCAAACTGGAATGGTAAATTCAGTTTGGAGAAATACAACACAACTAAAATCTGGCTCAGAAACAGCAATACTATTGCCTCAGGAGGAGACACTGAAGGAGGCTGTCATGGCCATGACTGATGATGGCTCAGGCAGCCCTGAGCAGGAGTTCCAGCAGCCTTAGTGACAGTCACTAAGAACTGAGACAGACCAATCTATCTCTGTTGACTCCCTTGCCACAAAAACGAAGCAGAACCTGTATCTTGTAATTACATTAGAAGAGAGACTGTAGAAGCCCAGGTGTTTTTTGCAAAAGGAAAAAAACTATATAAAAAAGCTCCAAACCTGTAAGGGAAAACTTTTGTTTTAAGGGCTGGTGATCATTATTGTGTAGTGCTAAAGCTGAGGAGTTCCTTGTGAGGAAAGTATGCATTTTAGATTAAGATGGCCATTAGAATTTTAACTGCATGGCCAAACGAGACTTCAGTTTTAACTGAGTTTTAAGGTGATGAACAGAACAGTTTCATCCCTTGTCTTGCAAGACATTGAAGTTATTAGATTAGGCTATTTTTTCCTAGCAAGTGGGGAAAAAAAAACAGGAGTGCTTCCTTTCAACTCCTAGAAAGGTAAACAATTGATAAAGCTGATTCAAAAGTGATTTAAGAAGTTACAGCTGAATGGAGCTGTTTAAAAATAGTTTGGCTCCTTGGGCATTAATTCCAGTTACATTGCTAAACAGATCTCACCGCTTTGGAATTTTAACACAAGGTCTATTTCAAATTGAATTAGTTTTTAATTTTTTTTCCTCTTCAGATAACACTAGACTTACTACTTGAGATGAAAATTCCTTTCCTTGCTTGTCATGTAGGCTGTTTGGAGTTGTCAGCTGTGCACATCACCTCAACCTGTAGCCAGCTGTTCTATAGTTAGCTATGTTCTCACCTGTTCTGCCAAGCTCAGACTCTGAATGAACAGCAAACCATGGATCAAGGAATAACTAAGTACTAGTTTTTAATATCAAACTCTTCAGTATAAACAAGGGACTCGTCAAATTTTCAGGCAGGTTGTTTCTCTGTGCCTGACCTTGCTGCAATAGTTGCTGCAGGAAGAGGAAGCAACAGCAGCACAACAGTAGCTTTCCTTAATGTCTGTTTGGATGCACAATCACTTCTTGATGCTGCTGCTTTTTTTTTTTTTTTAAATAAAAGCTAACAGACAGTAAAATGGAAAATTTATTAGTGCAAGTTGGTCACTCAGTTTCTTCCAACAAGTACACAATAGCATCCCATGCTTACTACAATATAAACAAACCTGCTGTAAGTTAAGAAAAGTTGAGCTTGTCTTAAAGTAACAATGTGTTACATATTGTCATCATCTGATTCATCTTCCTCTTTCAAAGATTCCTATTTGGGAAAAAAAAAAAAAGTTGAATTAAAAAATAGCTAAGAGTTTTTATAATTCAGCCTATAATAAGCAAAACAAGCTTTGCTGTAGTTTCACTATCCTCTCAATCCATCCAAAGCCCTGTATTCAGCAGGCTGGTCATACCTCTGGGGCAATACTGAGCATTCATCATTAGTGCTGCAAGTCTAACTTTTCCCAGCTGGTTATCTTTAAAACACTGTTCTAGGCAATGTAGCTTTCCTACCTCTCCTACTCATGCTGTTTCTGGAGTGAATACGTGCAATTTTGAAGGACAAACACACCACCTGTGCAAGCCTGCTGAATTACACTAGTTTTGAAAGCAAGACCTAGCCCTGCATTACACTGTAACCTTCACTGTTCTCCCTTGAGAATAACATCAGCTAATGCTGAAATGAGGTGTAACTATATATTTTCCAGTCATCACAACAGAAGAAGTGTAACCTCCAGTTAGTTCCTCCTACTCTAGACTTGTCAAATGAAGCATTTGAGATGACCCCAAATTCAGACCTTACCTTGGCATACTTTTCTGCTTCTTCCCTGATGTCTTTGGGAACAATTTCATGTTTTCCATTGGTTACTGCCAAGAAAAAGAGTACATCTTAAGTAGAATTCACCTTGACGTAGAGAGTGAATTTAAGAAGCAATGTTTTACTTTAGTTGCAGAATATAGTGTTTATAAAAATTACAGAAATTGCATTACTTTCTCCAACCCAGCTGAGTTCCAGCTCGAAAGCTTTATCCTTTACTTCATCATGAACTATGTAGATTCTGGAAGGAACAAAGAAAGTACAGATTAGAATACACTGATCAGCAGGCTAACTGTATCTTCTTCCTTTCACAGATTTGTTCTTTTGAAGTACTCTTATGGTTAATAAGCTGCTCTCCCTGTGCTTTCTCCCCTGCCCACACACACAAAAAACCCCACACATAAGATAATTTTCCAGGCTTAGTTGCTACTATATCAATACATTAAATTATTACAGCTAAGATGCAGGTTGAGATGTTCAAGTTATCCTAATTAGAACAAACATGAAGATTCAAATGCTGCAGAACCAAGGCCACCTCATCATTGCCTGCTTCTGCCAGTTAGGAATGTCCTGTATTTCTCCTGTAAATTTTATTTCAGTTTCCACTTCAGATTAAATCCAAGACTACACATATTATGTCTAATTAGAAGCCTATACACACATCTCCATACATACTGCTGTGCTTATGGTAACCTAAATTTAACTACAAGGGGTGTTAGAGCATAGGCAGTGCCATCCAGACTGGTAAGATCTCTCCTTGGTCTGCGGGACAGAAACGTTACATGATAGCACTCACTGCTCAGTGGCAGAACTTGTAAACAAACTCTAAAAACCAGGTCGAGACATCCACTCAAAACAGTAGTGGAACTTAAAATCACAGAATTGTACTGGTTGGAAAAGACCTTTTAAGACTATTCAGTCCAATCACAACCTAATTTTACCAACCATTATCCCAATCCTACCAAGTCCAGTGCTGAAACCATGCTCCTAAGTGCCACATCTAGATGTCCTTTAAACATCTCCAGGGATGGTGCTTCAACCACCTCCCTGAGCAGCCCATTCCAGTAGTTTATCATTTCAGTGACAAATTTTCCTCTAATATCCAATCTAAACCTCCTGTGGCACAACTTGAGGCCATTTCCTCTTGTCCTGTTGCTTGTTACTAGGGAGATGAGACTGACCCCCACCTTTCTACAACCTCCTTTCAGAGAGTTGTAGAGAGCAACTAGAAATGAACTGTGGCTTCACTTGTTGAGTAGGTTGTACTCCTTAAGTTTGTTTCAGAAAGCATTAGGAAGTCAAAAACTGAAAAATACCAGCTGTTTCTAGTCAACATAGAAAGCCTGGAGATTGTGGAGGGAGGAAGGAAGGAAACCTTCAGCACCACAGTAAGTCTGATAAAATTATTGTAAAACAGGTATAAAGAAGAAAGTTAACCTTGGTGTCCAGGGCAATGCCAGTACATGCTTATGTTCTTCTAACTGTGATAGACCGGACTCACTAACCATTGCCTGATGATCCATAGGCCTTTCTCCTGTGTTCAGCCTTTTGTACCAGTGAACCACTGTAAGTTCTTGAATAAATAATTATTTGGGAATCTGGCTAATATTTTAGGGTTAAAAAAAATGAAAATTTTTGCCATCTTGCTAAATGCTACTAAAGAGATGAATTTCAGCTGAAAAACAGAACTGTCTCGAACTGCTGTTAAGTTTTGAGCTGAGGCAGAATTAAAAGAACAAGTCTTTTTATTATTTGAAATTTTGTGCCTTATTTGTGCTTTTTAGGACTGCTTTGAGGTAATTGCTAGGTTTTAGGAAATCTCAAATTCTTTCCCCTAGCTGCTGAAATGACAGCCTCAGACACAACTCTGAAATAAGCTCACATGCTGCAACACCAGTGATATAAGCATATTCATTACTTCTTTATAACCTTCTAAGTAATAGCCATAAAATGCTGGAGAGTACAGTTTTGCAGCTGCAGATTAAATCTGTGACAAGCACAGAACATATCCCTAAAGTATCAAAATCAAGTGTTGTAGACATCTGAAAGGAGACCTGGTGAATTTGTACCTCTTCAGATAAATACCAGTATTTTCAAGATAGTTTTCTACTGGCCCATTCATGGTCTACCTGGCAGACAGTCTTCTCTCTTCCAAGTGTTATTTTGCCCCTCTCACTACTACATGACTTCTGACTGGTACCTTTTTTTCCTGTCCTCACACAGAGTCTGTGGGATAATATGGAGGATTCTATCACTGATGTCTTGTCCCAGATTCCATCAGTAAATAGCAAATTAAAAAATATTTCCAGTCTTTTCATGTTGTGTCAAGGTTATTCATTTAAATGAGACCATCTATACCCTAAATACAAATAAATGCTTTAAGTAAGGATTTATACTTGCTTCTTCTCTAAGCACTTGGGAGTCTTTTTTGGCAAATATAAAGGCCAGGTCAAAGACCTCAGCTCCATGACTGCTCCTTAATGTCCAAAGCATTAGTTCCTTGTTCAGTCTGTGTAACAGTTCACAGCTCTTTCTTCAGAATCAGGACACCAAGGAGTTTCTCTCATCTGTTATCTGCTTTATATGTTTTAAAACCAGGGACTAAATTCAGACAGTTTAACCTTCAATCCACTGCTGCTACAAGTTGCACCTATAAAAAGTAGCAGACTAGATCAAAAGGCCTATTTTTCACCTCTGACATTTTCAGTCCTGAGTAACAAATCCCATCTCACAAGAAGAGAAAATACTAGAGTCAGCTTGAGCACTCATCTCATAGAGATGAAACCTGGTACCCAATTTAAAGGGAACAGCTCCAGTTTGAAACTGCAGCAAGCTCATTAGTACAGATTGTTGTCGAGTTGGAACAGGCTGGAGACTTACATTTTTGCAACCTCTTTAACAACATCACGGCAGGTCATTTCCTTCATCTGTAGGTAAAAAAAATACACAGCTTAAGGGAATATACTCACTTCCACAAGGCCTGAAGATAAGTGGCTAATGAAGAAGCCTAATGAGCTTATAATGTTTAGTGGTGAAAGAAGTGACAAAAAGTTAAGAGAAGAAGCTGATGTATCACTCAGCCTGTTATATGCAAGTTATTCTTCCAGCGAAGAATTTTACAACAAAAAGATTCTATGAAAACACTTCCCCAGTTCAAAGCACTCATCAGCTGGAAGCCTAGAAGCAGATGCTTTCTGATCAACTGACATAAAATAACCACATGTGCCAGGGGAGGCACCATATTTTCATATATATACTATTCACATTCTTTCTCAACTATGTAATACTTTCAGTCTTACCAACATTCTGTGCAATCAGTTTTGACTTTTAGGTAATACCCTAAGAAGTGAATATTGTTCCAGGGTTAACAGCCAACTGCATGCCTGAGCAACCTGTCAGCATCTCGTTTTGTATTTTCTTCCAGTCTTCTGACAGTTTCAGAATTCATCAAAACAAAGTCTCCTGCCAATTTCCATGACATAACCATCTTAGGTTTTGTAGGTCAAAACTCTTCCCGGAGAACTACTCTGGGCTAGGAAGCAGCAGTACACTCTGCTCTAGTTCATTCATGCAGTTTTATCATCTCTTTCCATTCTCACAATGGAAGTAGTATTTGAGGCTCTGGAGAAGGAATGAAGATGACAGCAGTCCTTTGTTCATGTTGAGTGTCACAGCACTCTCAGGGGTGAAGTACACCCCCATGGAAGCAGTGGGCCACAGAAGAAATGCCTGTACCTGCTTAGACAGACCCATCCCAGTCCCATCCCAAGAACTTTCCTAAACAGACAAGAGACCCACTGCCCCAGCTCTCCATTCATGATGCTCACAACACACAGCACTGGCTGCTTTGCACAAATATAACCTTTAAATCACTACGTGTATTTATGCATTTAAGTTAGTAGTGAAATAGGAAAACCTAAACATGTTACCATCATGCAAATTTACTGCAGTTTTCTCTCATAAATACACCTTTTGCCATTATGCCTTTCCCATCCCAGATCCATTGATTCTGCAGACAATAAGGAAGCACTGTAGCATTCATACGTAGCATCAGAGCTGCAGGAGAAGAGACCAATAGAGTCAAGTCCTCTCCACGCAACAAGTTTTCCCACAGCTGAAGGCATCAGACATTTGCAATAAGGTGCAACAGCTGTGATGAGTGCAGTGTTCTCTGCTTGCACCCTCAGCTATGTAGGAGAGCTTCAAACACTTTCAGATACAGTATCTGCTCTGCAGTACCTGGAAGGCAGGTTCAAAGTTCTGACTACCTCCTTGCCTCCTACCTTCCACCTGCACTCATCCCTTCCACTGGAATAAATCTTAGCTGCCAGGCTACCACAGGTAATATCACCCCACAGAAGCTTTTGTACCTCTCCCTTTTTTCCATTTCATTGTGGACAAGTTCATCTCAAAGTTACATTACAAAAGTAACCCTGATCTGGAAACCTGCCCAGTTAACAGAAAGCCCTGGCATGCAAGACTGGACTTGGTTCATGTTACTGTGACAGGATCACACACGTTGCTGGAGACATTCTGCAAACAAGCTATGAAATGAGCAAGTGCAGACAGGACACAGGCACAGCCCTGTGCCCATTACTACATTTTACAGGCTCTACTGTAAAGTTCAAGCAATAACCAAATTAATGAGCTGTGCACACATCAGAGAATAAACCAGAAGTTTTTTGAAAATCCCAGCACTGCACAGAAAATTAGTTTTGGGGTAGATTATATATTACCCAACATATCCTTGCCTTTCTGCCACATGTGTAAATTGAAGTTATAGTGTCTCGGACATCAAGATCAGATGATCTTGAAGGCTTCTTGCTTTTAATCTGGCATCCAAGCATCTGGCCAGATTCAAGACCAGAAGCAAGTCTAGAAACATTGGAATTCTTCCTGTCACTTTTCAGCTATGATGGTAGGGCACCCTAAAGAGACTCTTCTTTAAAAAACCACAACCATTTGAACTCTGAACCTTGCCATGAACAGCTGTGATGTACTTCTGCAGCCTGGAACCGTACATTAGATGCAAGCAGAGTATCAAGGAAGAATTATATGAGACAGGCTATGGTTTGTCCCATGTTAATTGTCTCCAGTTCCAAGGGTGTCAGATATTAAATCACTGAATGACAGAAGTCTTTTAGGATTCTAACAGTTTTAAATCAGATTAAGCCAGTTCATCTCAGTAGTCTTCTCTCCACAGGTGAGTTTTACACAGCAAAGTATTTGCACACTCATTCCAAAGCTACAAAACAACTCGGTGTGCACACACAGAACTTTCATGTAACCCTTCACAAGTTATAGTGTCATGCAAAGGGGAAATGCTGAACAGAAACAGCTTTTTGGTACCAACAATGGTGTTCATGTAGCTGAACTCTTCCTAGTGTTCACAGCACTAAAATCCTTTTCATCTGACATGTAAAGTAGTTTGGAAAGGTGTATTACAGTCAACAGCAACAAGCTACTTGAACACATCTTTTGAAAAAAGGCAGTACCTCAACACTAGCCAGCTGGGAAACACTCTGATCTGGCAGGAAATTGATTTTTCTCCATTACATTTTTTAAGTCAGAATATTTCAGAGGTTCAGTATTTTGTAGATCCACTCATTGTCCTTAACAAGACCAGCTTGAAATTTTTCAACTTTCTAAAGAAAAGGATCATCTCAAAAAATGTGGGGAAAAAACCCGGTGCAATGCTGCCCTAAGGTCTTACACTTTTATATTTCCTCAATTAACTCTGCTCACTGCCATGCATGGGAGTGTGTGTTTATGCTCCCTGTTTTAAACATGTCCATTCCTGTGGAGTCCTATGGAGGGAAGGCTTGAGAAACACTGCTCTGACAGGGGCTGAAACACCTCCTAGAAGGTACAAGGAAATATTCCGTCTGCTTCTCTTCCATTTTAATATGTTTTAGGCATCCAAAAAGGTAACATAATAAGCTAGGAATGTCTTGAAGCAGCACAACAAAACTGTAACATCATACCTGAAGTTTTTCTATCTCTGTTTTTGCAGCTTGTCTGGCTTTCCCAATGGCACACCCCCAATAACCCTAAAACAAAAAAGAAACAAAAACCATGAAATGTGATTAAATACTAAGCCCTCTGCAGCTCTTACTGTCACTTAGCACATGACAGCCCCCACACTACTCACCTAGTGAGAGGCTAATACACAGTAAATCTTGGTATTGTTCTCTCTCAGGGCACAATCCCAAATGGCTGAACAGAACCCAAGTACTAAAATAAACACTAGAACTGTTGATAGAAAAGACTAGTGCTCAGTAGTTCCTGGATAGAAGCATAACTGAATGTATCTGCTCAATTTGTTGCAATAGATAATTTTGAATCGTTATTACAGTAAGTGGAAGAGCAAACTAGAATTGGTGAAGTTCTTTGGGATCAAAAAAACCCCAACCCACCTACCATAAAAGTGTATTGAAGTGTAAGCACATAAAAATCAAGCACTTCTGTTTTCCTCAACAACTATGGCATGGGATGTGTTGGATGTTAAAACTCAGAACAGCAGGAGTGTGCATTGTCCTGTGTGTAATGGTGCTGAAGAGGTAGCACTACCAACAATTGACAAAAGCACCCATTTTGATTTGACTTTTTGTTAGCAGCCAGTGTCAGAGTATCTGAAGTACATAGTGAAGGGGTATCACTACAGTACTTGCCCTTTCAGGGCAGAGTATGGGGCTTTTCATTGGCCATAGCCAGGTGGGATGAACCCCTAAATTTTTGAGACACAAGCTTTAAAAGTAGTTTCATGGTGACTGTAGTTCTGAAAGACACAAGGTGTGTTTAACAAGGACATGCAAATGAGCAAAACCCAGCTCGGCTCCTTTTAAGCAGTGACTCATCATCTTGCCAAGCAAAAAGAGAAAAAAAACCTAACAGCTCTTTTGGAATAACACCTTGGGTTTTCCTAACTAGGAACTTTTAAATGGGGGACTTATTCCAAGATGGAAATAAATAATTTGGCACACTCACGTATGAAACTCCTGATGGATCAATCATGTACAGCTGTGCACCATCATCATCATCATAGGACCCCAACATGAAACTGGAGGAGAAATGTAAAATTGGAAACGTTTCTTTTACCAGCACTCACAGAATGTGGAGACAACTCAGGTTTCCTACATTCTTCCCGGAGCAAAACTCCAACTGTTCTGCTACATTCCACTAAGCAACTTGTCTGAGCAGCTCAATGTTAACACCACAGCCAAGAACCTCCAAGTTGCCAGGAACATTTTACTGATCTGGAACCAGAGAGCAGATCTCAGTGTATTAGTCACTTTGTGCTAGAACTGCAGAGTAGTTGTAACCTGTACTGGGGCAAACAGGATGATTGCAGGGCAAAGTTCTGCTTTCATCACTGTCACAGACTTCATAGCACCAACTCTCCAACTTTAAAATTCAGGGACAAACTGGCAATCTATCTAGAAGCCTGGCACAGTCAGGCACACTTGAATTCTTCCCCCAAAGTTTTACAGGCACACTAAAGGAAAGGGGAATGGAATTTGTTTACAAGGTGAATTGGAGGATACAAATTCCAAGTTTAAAAAAAGTCCTCAGACAACCTGAGTAGTTCCAGCAACTGTGAAACAAAAGACACAAAGTCTGGAAGACTGACCTGCAGCCGAAGGGTCTGACAGCACTGTACAGTGTGTATGCATGCACATACATGGCCACTCTGTCTGCAAGATGCTGAGTGGAAAAAGAAAAAGAAACCACGATGGAAACCCTTCTTTACAGAAATAAGTGAACCTCAAGTAATACAATTTAAGTCTCCACATCAAGCTAGTAAAGCAAAAAAATCTGAGTGAATTGCAGCAATTTCTTACCTTCAGTGGAATATCGTAGCCATAGTTGGACCTAAAGTTAGAAGCCTCTTCTCTAGCTATGTCTGCCAAAGAACGAGCATCTGCCAGCAGTCCTGCTACTGCCTGCAATGAGAGTTGTACCTTCCCATCACTTAATTAATTAAACCAATGGACCCAAATTTAATTATCAGAGATCCTTACTGAATGCTCCGTACCATTACAAGTGAATTCAATCAATCTATCCATCTGCTAGCAAGCTCAAAACGTATCAATAGGATTATTTATTAATACAGAATATAATTTTCCCCAGGAAAATCAATAACCAAAATTATCTTGATGTAAAATGGTGCTTTATGATTCACCACAACTACACTAACCCAAACAATACTTCATGTAATATATATTAAACAGATAGTTGCAGGCATTTCTGTCACACAGTGACCACTAGTGGATACCATCCTGACATCATTATTAGGGATTGGCCAGTAACTAAGACACCAGCTGAGTTCTAAGAGCTCAGCTGACTCCCACACTGTTGGGAAATGAATCTTCTGAGCAGCATGTTATCCCCTAAACACACCTTACTTGTTAACTGTGTAAAGAAGTACTACTTGTAACACTTGTGTTTATATTTATGTTCAAGCTTGAACAGCTAGAATGCTGAAAAGTATTGACCAAAATTCTAACAGCCTTCAGGTCTGCCCACCATCTAGCTTACATGTATCTGTGTGTGTGCAATGAAGAATAAATTACAGAAAAACAATCAAAAACCCACTGGCATTTCTGACTCTGTACACAAAAACATTAACATTACATTCTTCATCTACTTATTATTGATTGTCTGATTCTAGATTTCTACTTTTGAGGGGAATCCCTCTCAATTCCTGGAACCCTGAACTGGAACAGCACCTCACCATTCCCACATGTCGGTCGACGTTGAAGAGACGTTTATTGGAACCCTCTTCATAAAGCTTGGACAGAACTAGTTTTTCTACTCCAAAGACGACCCCATCTTTGCATCTTATCCCAATTGCTGTACTGAAAGACAAGATCAGTGAAGCTCCTCAGGCAGAGCTGCAGTGTAAAATACGTAGCAGAGAAGTTAACAACATACAAGAAACAATGACATGATTTCTCCAGAAGTGATTTGTTACGACTCCACTTCAGCACTGAAGACAAGGCTGGGGGGGAAGCCAAAGCTCACTGAAATGAGCTGGCCCTGTGGGTCTGCAGCCCAGAAACCAACCTGTCCTGGGCTGCATCACAAGAAGTGTGGCCAGCAGGGCCAGGGAGGGGATTCTACTCTGTTCTGCTGAGACCCCACCTGGAATACTGTGTACAGTTTGTGAGTCCCCAACACAAGAAGGACATGGAGCTGTTGGACAGAGTCCAGAGGAGGCCATGAGGGTGATCAAAGGGCTGG